TAATTTCTTGGGCTTATTTCTATATCTTATATTATGTCTACTGATCATTCTTTTCTTTGTCCTGTGCCAATTATTTTAAATTATTTTGATTTTATGTTTTGAGATCACATAGTATAAGTTTATCCTCATTACATTAATTTTTTTCTTGAATATTCTCACATGTTGTTCTATTTCAGATATGCTTAAGAATATGAAGTTGAAGATATAAAACTGAGATTATGATTGGAATTGCATTGTCATAAATAGGAATAGACCTTAAAATGTTGAACCTTCCTCAATTTGTTGTTACTTTCTGCCCATCAATAAAGATTTGTAATTTTTTTAATCTAGATTTTACATTTTCAGTACTAAATGTAGTCTTGGGTATTTTAATTTTTGCTATTAGTAATAGAATCAATTTTTCTATTAAGTGTTCTAAATGGTATTTATAGCAATATAGAAAATATTGATTTTTATATATTAAACTAACCACCTTAATTCTCTTATTAGTTCTTAGAGCTTTTAATAGATATTTCCTATTACAAAATATTATCTACAGACATTGATAAATTTCTCATTTTACTTTTACATACTTGATTTCTTTTTATTAAATTGCCTCAAATTTCAGAAAATGTTGAATGATAGAGGTAATGGCTGACAGCCTTGATCTCCGTCTGATTTTATTGGGGATGCCCTCAAGTTTCATATTACATTTTCTATTGGCTGTTGGCTTGAGATAGATGTACTTTATCATGTGAAGGGAATGCTCTATTTCTAGTTTCCTTTTATTTTTCCTCTCAAAGACGATAATGAATTTTAGCAGATGCCTTTGGTATCTGCTAAGATGAGACACACTTCCTTGACTTACTGTGTTCCAAGAATCGACTTTATTTAGTTATGCTTTACAGCTGTGTTTAATTAACTAATCTTTAATTTAGAAATTTCTGATTATTCATTAGAAAGATTAGGCTATAATTTGGACTACTTTTTTGATATTTTATTATTCTAGCTTTGAAATCTGAGTTGAGAAACTTGTTTTCTGGTGTTATTCAATAGCTTAAACACGGTGTCATTTTCCCCCTTCATTTACAGCCACTCCGGCACACTATGCTCATTGGTCCTGCCATCCTGCTAATGTTCTCCTACTGCTATCACCTCATGGTAAACTCCTACTCATTTAAAACCCACCTTAACACCAATGTTCTCTATAGCCCTCTCCCACCATTTCCATAGGATCAGCACATGCTTTGATTCAGCCCTGTTTCTACTATAATTTATTCATCTATTAACCTATTTTTCCCACTGGAGTCTGAATTTCTTGAAGTTGGGACAGTCATATATGCATCTTGTAATTTTTTTGCTGAATCTCCAGTGCTTATCACAGTACCTGGCACATAGCCTGTGCTTCATAACTCATTGTTACATGAATAAATTCATAGTAAATTTTATCTTTAAACTTTGCCAGTAAAATAGTTTCAAAGAGGTATGCATCTTTGCCTTTCTTTGACAGTACAATAGAGACAACAATCACTTGCTGCCATCCCACACACGTGGTAGAGCTCTGTGCTGGGATAATGGATGTTGGAGCATAAAGTATACAGTGGAAGGATCGAGTACAAAAACACACAATAGCTACCAGACTTTCTTTGATATTAGTAATAGGTTATGTATTGACCATTTACTGCTTTCCAGGTAGGATATCATCAACTTTATTTCTCATAATAGCCCTGTGAGGTATATAGTATTGTCTGAATGTTACATGTGAACTGAATGCTAGCAATGAAGCCTAAGTGACTTGTCTGAGGTCAAACAACTGGAACGTCGTGGAGCCAGAGCCTAAACTAACATGTTCTGAATTGAGTTCATCATCTAGAAGCAACTCCTTATTGACTAGTCCATAAAGACGCTGTGCTCCACTTACGGGAGAAAAGCAACACGTAATAGGCAAAGGGTGGAGATTTGCTCAAGTACCCTACTTCTCAGGTTCTGCCTAAGTTCAGTGGACAATAAGAAGAACAACGGAACATCTATCTTCCTGCTTGACCTCTGCATCTCTCTTCTGATAAAAGTGGGCCAACCATTGAGTAAGGTTTTCTTGATTTTTAGTTTACTCTGTCATGTTGATTCATCCTGAAAGCACACCATGGGCAGTGTGATTGCGGACGACTCTTTTCCTTCTCTGGAAGTTTGAAAGGGCAGACAGGTAAGAGGAAACAACTTTCCTTTAATAACTAAGTTCCTAGATTTATGAGCTTGTGGCCAAGAGCTACAGGTGAGTGACACTGACCTATAATCTGAAATGAGACAGACTTCAGGGTTCTTCTCACCCCCAAAGGGAAGGCACAGTAGAGTTGCTGAAAGTGTGGTATGAAGGACAGTTTAGCACTTTACGGTCGGTTGACAGTATGCCAGCCCTGATTGCTGCTCATTCCATCTCCAACCACTCCTGCCTCTTCCCCACTCCCGCCTGAGACCCCAGCATGAGTGATAGAAGTAGCAAGAGGTTGTTCAGAAGATTAAAGACCCAAGTCACCAGAGGCTTCCATCTCACAAGAATATTTAGACACTTTCCACTTGGCAGTCATTCATATTCTTCTGCAAAGGATGAACAAAAAGCCTGTTTCAAAGAGGTTCCTTCTTCAGATCTCTGTACCTTGGAAGATAAAGCGAATGCAAGGATTTTGTTTTGAAATTAAATATTCATTAGGTTGGGTTAGGGATATTACTGTTCTCGAGAACAAGACTGGATTTTCCTTTGTTTTAAAATACCTGCAGTCATTTCACTTGAGAATCAATTTCTGTACTAATCAGTCAGGGTAATGCACAGTGTGATTTTTCTAATAGAACAGATACTCTCTGGAATTGAATAAGGAAAGATTCAAACTGTTTTACAGAAAGTGCGTGAGCAATCTGACATCACAGGAACCCTGCACACAGAAGCAGCCAGGAGTGGAGGAAAGAGCCTTGGGAGTCAGACCCTGGGCACTATGATGGCCTCTGAGTGAGTTTTTTGGCTCTGGTGATTGACAGCTGTTTTCTAATATCTTGGAGTTTCCATTTCCTAAACTGCATACCTCTTTCCTTTCGGGTTTGTGTAAGAATTTATAAATAACAGAAAACGAGCTGAACCTACAGATAGAAGCTATTATTCATACTTAACATAAATACTCAGAACTGGTCACCAAAGGGCTTAAAAGCCATTTCCATCCTTTTAAAAAAAATCTCTCATTGCTCACAATACCCTTGAATTTAAACAACTTTTAAAAGCTTTAAAAGCTTTGAAGGTTTATTTCAATGAAACCTGTTTTTATTCTAGGCATTTTTCCTCCTGTCATTCAGAGTAAAACAAAAAACATTTACTGTCAAAACAACAAGGGTTTGCTCTCGGGCACAAAATGAAAGCAGGAATGGCTGCCTGACTTATCTTGGTGTCTGCCTAGCAGTTAAACAGGACAGCTTTTAATTTGTCACTTCTTTAAGATTCACTTGGGTTGGAGAAGTAAATCACCAGTGCTTGGTTTTAGCTAAACTTGAACTAGTTGGGCCAAAGGTGTATTCTTTATTCCTCAGACACATATCCTTTCAAAGCGCCAAGTAAAGGAAAAACTATGTATTTAGTAACATACTTAAGATAGTACATCTAATAGATTTTTATTTTTACTTGAAACTGGAGGAACTTAAAAATCTAACTTATTACCAAAGATCAACAACAGGTGTGGGAAGAGGTAAAGGAGGTTAATGCTTTTCAACAAGCCTGCATAGAACTATTTAAAAGAGTTAATGCCCAACTATTTTTTTTAAATTAAAATCAACTATGAGTAAAGACTCAAAGTTCACATCTCAACTCTACCAAGACATTCATTCTACCTTTCTGAGTCTCAATTTCTTTATTGATAAATCGGGGATCACATCTCCCTGGTTCATGTTGTCTAGCACCTAACAGGCACTTATCAGGCACATAATAGCTTCTCAATATTTGTGAGCCACTGTTGTTATGCAGAAGAGCTTGTGAAACAGTTTTTAGCAACTCAATCCAGGAGTGAGCGTTTCTTAATGTTTCTTTTATCTGCCTCAAATTTATTTTGCTGGAATCTAAGCTGTTACCTCATTTTTGCAAAGTTGGCGATAACATCTGTTTAATACTTTTTGTATAAGGAGGCCAGATTGCGGGCATGTGTTTATGCCACCATTAACATAACCATTCCTCAATAGAGGTGTTTTCTGGCATCTCAATGACCTAATTGTAATCTGTAATCTGGCTGATTACTGGCTAGACAGACTGTTTTAGTAACAAGAGGAAATGAGAATGACACACATACACACATATATACATATACATACACTCATAAATACATACATACAGAATCATATATATATACATACACACACACACACACACGTATAATCGGTTCTTCAATACATATAAAAGTCAAGGTCCAGCTGCAGACTTCTTTTTGTTTTATGCTTTTTTTGGTATGGAGCGTGCAGGGAATGTGAAGAATAAATGCTTCCTTCGTTTGGGTCCCTTAAGCAACTGACTTTGAAATGAACTATGGCGAACTCAATGAGAGTCTAGATTAACCTTGGTTTAACGACCAACAGTTTAGCAGGGCTTTTTAGTATTTATTTATTTATTTATTTATTTATTTATTTATTTAGAAGAATTTCTAAATCCATAGGGCTAGTCCTTGAGTCTTTTCCCCCCTTTGAAAGCCCCATGCTAAATGTGGTCCAAACACCACATCTACACAGGCAGTGCTTTCCCTGACAACATCCTCCTTATTTTTCACTGTGGCCAATTTCCCAAGCATATCCAGTGTCTGAAGTCAATTGAAGATGAACTGATTCAACTTCTGACAGAGGCTTTCTCTGTCTACCCTTACCCACACCACCCACCCACACCTTCAGTGCCAGGTCAAGGCCACCATGGGTCAGATGGAAGCTTAGAGAGAAGTGATTTCCTCTTTCAAGCCCTCACCTGAATATCCAGTAGAAACTTGTGGAATAAAACCAGGCTAAGCTGTTGTTCTCAAACATGTTTATTTGTAAGTTTTACATGGTGTGTTACAGAAATTAATGGAAAATTTCTAAAAATTTCGCTGTTCTGTTGAATGCATTGTACATAAAGTTAAAAATAATGTGTCCATATATGTTAACAAACTGTCATCTGAGGTAAAGTTAAAGTAGGTCTAGAAATGTACGGCAACAGTCATTTCTCTTTCTCATCTTTATTAAAAAAATAGGTGTCAGAACGCAGAAATTGAAATGAACCAAACCCACAGAGTAAACATTTTTTTTTTAAAGAAGGTGCCCGGTACATGACATGATGGGGTTTCAGCAGACACTGGGATGAGTACGAATCGTCACAAAAGTCTTGCGGCATGTAAAGATTGAAGAGCTATGGGGAGTGGGAACAGAATGACAGGTGGCGTTTCCCTGGTTTCAAAATTTAAAGTGACAAATTTAGTGCTAGTGGAGGATGAGAAATTAACAGCTGGACACATGGATTTTTCTATCAATCTAACTGGAACTGTGCAGACTCCCCATGACCCTTTGGTATTGGCACCTCAGCTCTTATTTGGAAATTCCACTGTACTCCTGGAATAGAATACAGTGGTTCTGAGCTCACCAAACAGTGCTTGTTAAACATCAGAATTCTGCCAATGATAACACGGATGGCAGTCTAACAACTTGATTTTATTTCCCTCACTGGAATGCATCACATGGACCATACATTTTAAGCTCAGAGCCAGTTACATTTTCAGTCACATTCAATGAATGGTGAGTTCACTGGGCTCTCACCTTCTGCTATGACATTGGCTCTAGAACGGTTTTTAACTGATACAGCGACCTCTGCCAAGGTTCACTTCGAATGTGTTAGAAGCAACCCAAAGAATCTGTACAATGGGGTAATACTGCCAGACACACTCAAGACAGCCATATTGAGGGAGAAGATAGCACCACTTGTTTAGAATCTGAATTACGGACAACATAGCAATGTAAGCCATTTCCTCATGGGAACTGCCCATCTTATTAAATCCCCAGAAAACACCATCAAACTGGTTTCAGGACATCTCTTATGGTTCTCACGCCTTTCCCATTTCCTCCTTCATGTGAAAAGATGACTTCATTGTCAAATGCATGCACTTTTCTGGAGGAGTCATGTGGACCAACAGTGATAGCTACGGAGGGAGGGAAATGGCCCTTCTCACTTTTCTGGTTCTTCAGACCTTCTGCCTTAGGATGACATTTACATGGATTCCGTAATGGACATTTGGTCAGTTTACCTAACTGGAAAAAAGTTGGATTCCAGTGACCTGATAATGTAAAATTTGGGCTTCCAATAGTAACCACCACATGGACTTATCAATTTTTTTTTTTTTGCGAGCAAGTTTACCTTCTTCCAAAGCATTTCAGTTTCTATTGATATGAGGAACCAAAGTACGCAGGCCTATTTAAGTTAATCATATCAATATAAATTCTAATTTTCAAATTTTAAAACCAAATAATAGTAATTACCCTCAAATCCAATTAATTACATGATTCTTTAAAGTTTTCTTCTTAGTGTTAAACCACTAAATTCAACATACTGTAACTGCATAGGAACATCGGAAAACACACTTGACCTGTAGAACAATTCTCTGTAGGGCAAAAATATATAGATTCTTTATGAAAATCATGTGCTAAACATACGAACCAAACACTACACTTTTTCTGTCTCATACATGTAAAAAAAGGAAGCTTAAACTCTTCTGTTTCATGTACAAATAGTCCAGTGATTTCCGTGGGAGAAGGTGGGAGTGGAGAGGCAGGAGGGAGGGTTAGAATCTGAAGGACAGACCTTCAAAATGTGAGTTGCCTTGTTCTTGTTTTACACGGAGGGCAGGCACTCTTGTGGAAATGCTAGATGAGATGATGGAGTCACATGCTCCCTTCCTGTTCACTAGCTGCTGATTGGCCAGCTGCTGCTGCCAGCTGTCCCTGAACTCCAGCCTCCTCCCATATGCTCCAGAGTAACATCTGGAAAGCCAGCCCCATCCATCACGCTTGTCACATCTTGCACTTAATCTGCTACCTTCTCTACAGTGTAATGGCATTGTTAAAAAGCATTTTCATTAACATTTATATTTACAAAAAGAAAAACACCTGGCAATTTTTTTCATTAGAACTCCTTAAAGCCATTTCCCTTAAATATTTAAAGAGTTTAATGGTAAGGTTTTATTTTCAAGTTATAAAATAAAAATCCCATTTGAATTTTCTGATGTACAAAAAGAGATAGAGATGAACCATTATGATCACAGAATCAGTTTGTTATTCTGAATACTCATGCCACCATTGTTCCATGAGAAAGTCAGTTTTTAAGATCCAGGACCACATTACTAGGATTATACCAGAATTATTTGGCAAATGACTTTTCTTTGAAAATGGCACGTGGAGAAGACACTTGTCTGCATAGCATCACAGCAGCAAGAGATCGGAAAAATAAAAAATATTGTTTCATTGTACTTAGAATTTAGAGCTTCTTAGGAAATCAGATGCATTTTTCATCTTTCTCATCAATGGGACTTGATGTCCTTTCCTACTCACAGAATGAGGGTTCAAACAGAAAGCTGTTTTTCTTCACCAGGATGCAGAGATAGCTAAAAGGTTGTTTTGGCAACATTCTTGATCATAAAGAATAATCAACCACTTATTTGTCTTGCGATTTGAAGTTAATTCATTCATATGAGACTTTTTCCCCCACTTAGGTTTCTTCATCAATGTCTTAAAAAAGTCAAAAGCAATACAAAATTTGTACACCCATTAATTTTCAAACATGACAAAGGAAGGAAAGGGAGAAAATGGCAGACCAGGCCCTGTGCAGTGATAAAGTAACATCATCACATGTCAAAAGGCATATGGATGATGAGAGTGTGGTCACAGAGGACCTCTTCCTTTGCCTAAAAGAAGTCAGTGCCAACCTTGCTGTAAGACTCTGAGGCCTGTCACTCCAAGTTTGACGTCTCTACAGCAGGTAACATGTAGAGAAATAAAAAGAGAATTATGATTTTGCATACTTGGGGAGGGGGGTCATTCTCAATCCACATTTAGAGAGCTCAGAATGTTTGTTGGGTAAGCATTTGCTTGATTTGTGATTTAACGTTGGGTATAATTTTCTTATACTTTTGTGTGTCCTTGTTTTGTTGTGCTGCCATAGGTATCTGCTGTTGGTTGCCAAAAACTCTTAGTTCCTTCCTCCAAACAAGTTCCATTGGGCAATTATGAATTTCTTTGTGGGATGAAGTGAGGTGAAAGAATATAAGAGCCTGTCGCGATGCTGATTTCCATGCTAGTCTTGAAGAAGCACCCGCCACGAGCCCGCATTGATGCTATTTCTTAGGTCTGTGTATCTGCGCATAGAGAGGCTCCAGCTCCTAGGGACAGAGGGACAAAGTGAGACCCATTCTTTTCCAGATATGAATTTCTGAGACAATTTGGGAAGGAGAGTTTGGGATTAGAACAGAAAGGTGACAATGTATGATGGATGACCTTAGGTGATTTTTGGAGTATTTGATCATGGTGCATATCATTTTGGCAACTTATTTTAATCATCAGGAAGAACTACTCACCCTGTTTTGTCCTTGGTTTTCAAGTGAGACTGATTTCTCTGTTAGGAAAATAGCATGATATAGTAGAGAGAGCTGAACACGCTGTGTGATATGGACAAGGAACTTATCCTGTCTGAGACTCAGTTTCCCAACCATGAAATGGGAATGATACTGTTCATCCTGTAGGGTTTTTGAAGGATTAGAGATAAAACATCTAAGCACAGTGCTTGGCCATAACAAGTCTTCAGAAAATAGTAACTATTATAATGACTCAAGTGGAGATTTTTTTCAACACAGTTTTATGAATGTCCACTTGATACGGCTGAAATTTTATTTCGACCTGTCCTTTGGTTTCTTTAAGCAGTGATGACTGGGCACACTTCACAGCAAGGGAAACAGCAATTGTGCCTTTAGATCTTAGTTAAAAACTTCTGGGACTTGTTTCCATTCCATCTGCTGTTTCAGGTTGGGCCAGACCTTTGCCTGCGCACATTGGAGTTGTCCTGAGACATACATACACAAGGCATTCTGTATAGAACATAGCAACCTTTCCTGGTGTTTGGCCTTGTTGAAAGCACTTCAGGACTTCATGTCAAAGGCCTGGGATGCACTAGCCAAGGAAGACTAGGTCAATGCTCTTGTCTTAAGCATACCATAGATAGGCCCTTCCATTAAAACTGACCTTTATGCTGCCACTATTGGATGTTTGTTCCAGAAGTAAATAAACATAGCTACACCCTAATTATGCCATATATTATATATTAGCCTGTATCCTGCCATGTAAGTAGTAGTGGATCCTTTTTATTTGCTTATTTTCTTGAACTATCACATTGAAATGGCATCCTGTGAGCCCCTCCTGTGGGCCTAGCACACTAGGCATTTTAGAGTACACTGACTTTTTAATTTATCACAATAGCCATGCAAGGCAGATGTTTGATCTCTTTTGCAAATGAGAAATCAAGCACAGAAAAGTTAAGTCATTTGCGCATAGTTACACAGCTAGTGAGTTTGGGGCATGAGACTTAAAAGTAGGTCCAGTACTTTCCCTAGTCTATTACAACAGCTGATAAAAAAGGGTCCAACTCTTCAAGCTGTAGTGTGTAGAGTGCTTTGGAGTTTATCAAGTTCCCTCGTGTCTTATTTTATCTGCCTAAGAGTTCTAAGAATAGCTTTTATTCTTTCCATCCTCATTCTGCAGATAAAAACGGAAGGTCAGGGAGGTATGTGATCTCAGGGTCATTGTGCTGCCTCTCCTGTGTCTCATATATCACATTGTTCATCTTGATTGTAAAGTTGAAATGGACTAAAAGATAATTTTGTCCAGATCCATCATTTTACAGATGAGGAATCTGAAGCCCAGAGAGGAGAGGTTTTGTTTCACCAAAGTCACAAGGTTACTTAGTAACCATGCTGAGAATAGAATCCAGGCTATTTTCTTATACACTTACTAGAGGCCTGGTGCACGAAATTCGTGCACTCAGGGGTGGGGGTTCCCTCAGCCCTGCTTGCACCCTCTCACAGTCTGGGAGCCCACGGGGAGCAGGCCTAAGCCATCAGTCGGACATCCTTAGTGCTGCCACGGAGGCATGAGAGGCTCCCGCCACTGCCACTGCGCTCGCCAGCCGTGAGCCCAGCTTCTGGCTGAGCAGTGCTCCCCCTGTGGGAGCGCACTGACCACCAGGGGGCAGCTCCTGCATTGAATGTCTGCCCCCTGGTGGTCAGTGTGTGTCATAGCAACCGGTTGTTCTGCCGTTCAGTCGATTTGCATATTAGCCTTTTATTATATAGGATTTTGTTTATCTTCCTACAGGGAGAAGGCCCCTCCTAGCCTTCCAGGCACCCTATTTCATAATGTACAAGAGAACCAATTTGTCCTCCAATGCTTTATATCCATGGGACTTTATTCTGTCCTTTAAACATAACGAAAACATGCAATTCTTCTTCCAAGTATCCAAAGACAAAGTATGGAGGCCCATTCTTCCACACCCTGCTTCTGGTTACCACTCGCCAGTTCCTTCTGCTATTTTACATGTGAACCTAGCACAGTATGTGTGCAATAAAAGTTTGTTGAATTAATGAATGACTACGAAACAATACCAACATTATTTAGTAAAAACACTCTAATTTGGCTTTAATTCTCTCAAAATCTAATCTAGCAAGATCTAGAACAAGATGATTTATTAAGCACCTAATCTATTCTCTGTCAACATCTTGAAATGTTTCCAATACCTGTTGTAAGGCTAAACTTGTTCGTTTCCTGTGTGTTTGTAATCTCGGGGGTGGGGGGAGGGGAGGAAGGGGGAGGTGGGGTGAGCCAAGGTGGAGCTGTCAAGTACACATCCTGGGAAAAGCCATTTTTGGGGCCTACGCCAGGCTATCAGGATGACTCTTGATCTTCTCTGAGTAGACTTCCTCAGCCCACTCTTCTTTTTGGATGCCCTCAGAATTCAGGCTGCTTTGATCTCACCCTACAATGTGCTCTGTTCTAAGTTTGGAACTAATTTATTCAACGGAGAATGACACCCTAAAACGGAAGAAGACAGCAGGCTCAGATGGGGTAATTAATGCCACACTGCATTAACTTTCTGCAGCTGAGATAAATATTCACACGTCCCCTGCTTGCTGGAATTTAGCTTCAAATACCCATCACAACAGCGGTAACGAGTGCAGTCAACTCTCAATTATCCCCACTAATGAAGGGGAGCAGTGGCGTGGAAACCCCAAGCCGCAGATCGTCCCAAAGTCTGACACTGTGATGCATTATCCGTTTGGGCAGCAGCTTTGCCTTCCTTGTTACCAAATCTTAGACTGTCAGAGCTGGGGGAGCTTGGAAATCACCTGACCCAGAAATTTCCAACCTGACTTCCCACAAGGTCATGATAGGGTCTTGAGGCTGTTTTCAACATTCCAAAATGTCTAAATGGAATCACACGTTAGCACAGCACGCTGGTGTCTTTAGTTTTCACTGGGCAGATTTGACCACATCTTCAAAACCTTCAAAGGCTCCCCATTACCCGCAGGGCAAGGCCAAAGCTCCTTTGCTGGGCACATGAGACCCATTAGTCTCCTAGTCCATTAGAGCTAATAAATGCCCCTTCCAGACCATGAGTCAAACTCAACCATCAGGTCACGTATAGCAGGCTTTAAAAAAAGTTTCATTTTTTAACACCTCTGCCACAATGTTCTTTGTAAAATGGATTTGGTCATGCCAGTCTCCTGCCTGAAATGACCCTCCTGACTCCTTATTACCCCAAGGATAATGCAAACGCCTCAGGATGGCACAGGAGGCCTTTCCAATATGGCTTCACTCTCTCCTATGCCCCCTTCCATCTGGTACTTCTGGTCTACCTGACAAGGCAGGCCTTTCCCATCTCTGAGACTCTGCTCAGGCAGTTCCTCCTGCCTTTGGGCCTCTCTTTGTCCTGCACCTGAGATTCCATACTTTCAGAATCATTTCAAATATAATGGCTTCCTAGACTCTCTAGTGCTCAGTGTAGACCTCTGTCTACAGTGCCACCATGTAACTCCTAAACCCTCTACACAGTGAGCTCCACTACATCCTTCACATCAGCATCCCAGATGCTGAGTGAGAGCTTGGAACATGGGCAGCACACCTGCTAACAACATGGAGATTGAGGATGTGAGTGAATGAATGAGCAGTTCTTCTTTTATCAGGAACTGGTGAATCCTCATGAACTTTAAGCTCAATTGGGCCTGGCATCTTAATATCTTCATTTCTAGAGGACAATAAAGTAGATGGAAAACCAGACAATACAAATAAAACCCAAACCAACTAACCAATCTTTGACTTAAGTTGACTCCCCTGTTTGCTGGGAGGTGCAGTGAAGGGATGAAAGCATGCAGATTTGAAATCAGGCAGATCTAGTTAGTATCCCCACTGCCAATTCCCTGCAGCCTGAGGCCCCTGGGGACACACTTCCAGTGGAACCTGCTGGGCTGATTACTCACTGTAGTGAGGGAGCCACGGTATCTGTGTAAGAGGGCCTTAGGAAGGGCTTGTTACAGGCTTGGGCTTATGTTAGATGATTTGGGGGAGAGCCAAGAATGTAAGGGTTTTTTTCTCTAGGGTGGATGCCCTTAGGAAGCAGGACTATGATTATTTTAATAAATCTCATCTTGAGGGTAGAAAGAATGGAGCAAGGTTAAAGGGAGGAGAGAAGGATGTTTGGTCATTTTTATACTGTGGACGATGCTTATGTTGCCTGTCCTGGGCCATGGCTACTGAGTGATCTTGTCTTGACCATCATGGTCACAGAGTGGTCTTGTCTGATGCTGATGATCAGTGAATTAGTTAGTTCACAGTCAACAGAGCACCAAGGCCTTGCTGTGAGGGTGGGGCTCCTGGCTGCCAGGCTGCCATCTTCTTTCTCACTGTTACCCACTTAGTACCCATAGGACTCTGTGATGGTCCCTTAGCCATCTGAGAGCCAGTTTCCTTATCTGTCAAATGAAGCTAGAAATCCTCTCTGTGAGCTGTGCCGTGAGCATTAAAGGGGAAAATACACCGAGATTGCCTAGCACAGAGGAGGCAGTCTCTAAGACAGACTAGGTTCCCATATGTCTGGCCCCTGCCTTTATGCTTACTCTGCAGAAGATGCTCTTAGGCCTAAAATCACCTGTCGGTGGCTTCTCCTTCACAGCATGTAAGAGCCGCTACAACTGGGCTCTGTGATGAAACCTAATACTGTCTGTGGATCAGCCCGGGAAACTGGACAGAAAGAATGTGCGTTCATCTGAGGAATCTGGCTGCAGGCCCTGTGGAGAACAGAGACTTCCACATACTTGCAGACCAGAACACAAGTATG